GCAGGGAGTCTGCTTCTCCCTCTGACCCTCCCCCCTCTTGTGCTCTCTCTCATTCTCTCTCTCTCAAATAAATAAATAAAATCTTTAAAAAAAATAAATAAATAAAACCCCTGGAGTGAGAAGTATCCATTTGCATAGCCTGTTTCTGCTGCTGTGCCCTAGTGAGAATAAGATGGGTGCGTGGATCTGCCCATCCCTGAGTGGGTCTGGGGGCACCCGGTCTCACTGCTTGTGGTCCTGGGATTTAAAGACCTGTGCTTTTCCTGTGATGTGGCCCCAGATGCCAGCCAACAACCTTGTTGTTTAACAGAAGACAGTCTGTTTCCAAAGCTGGAAGAAAAACTGGCTATTCGGAAATAGTATGTCTGGGTCCTGTGTGTTGCCTTCCTAAGGAATTTTCAAGGCAGTTGTGAAAATAAGCAGTTTTTGTCATAAAAATTCACTTTAGAATTTTAACAATGTCACTGAACCTAGCTGATCTTTTTGCCTCCATCTCTAGCACTGATTTAATCATTTAATTTTTTATTTTTGAAAGGCTATTACTTTCATATATATATATATATGAATGTATGTTTGTAAATATGGGCACATAGTGGGGCGCCTGGGTGGCTCAGTCGTTAAGCACCTGCCTTTGGCTCAGGTCATGATCCCAGGGTCCTGGGATCGAGCCCCTCATCGGGCTCCCTGCTCAGCAGGAAGCCTGCTTCTCCCTCTCCCACTCACCCTGCTTGTGTTCCTGCTCTCACTATCTCTCTCTGTCAAATAAATAAAATCTTTAAAAAAAAAAAAAATATGGGCACACAGTGAAACCTTCAAATTGTTTGCTACCAGTCAATAATGAAATAGGTACAGGGATTGAGAGTGAGCATTTAGACGTGTAGCAGTTTGATATTTCCATGATATCTCCAAGTGGGACCAGGGGGCTCCTCTTTAGTAATTTTTTATTCCCTTTCATTCCAGGCGTGCCCTAGATTATAGGAGTGAATCTCCCATTCCAGGGCAGCCATGCATCACTCACAGGTTGACCGCTCTGTCTCTTAGTTCCCTTCTCTCCTTGGGGCCCTGGGGATTATCTCTACTTTCTTGCAAGTCAGTTGTATATTTATAAGGATGTTTGTTCTCTGTTACCTGGCATTCCTAAGTGTTCTCTTTTAGGAGGGTTTTCAAGTGCTATTGTATAACCTGCCTAGAAGAGAAGTGCTCTTTGGTTTTTATATTGGCTTTTAAAATCATTTTAATATAGCGCTCTTTTCCCCCAAAGGAGCTTGAGCAGTCAGCTAAAGAGCAAGACAAAGAGTCGGAGAAGCAAGCTCTGCTCCAGGAAGTGGAGAATCACAAAAAGCAGATGCTCAGGTAGGTGAGGCCTGTGCTGGGTCACTTGCTCCCTGGGAGGCTTGTACAAGGGTTTGCTTAACAAACCTGGCTTAATGATTTAATTGTGTCATTTATACACAGACTGAATGTCCTCTCTAGATCAGTAGTTCTCAAAGCAGGGGCCAGCAGGGGTTGTTGGTAGGTCAAATTGTGTATAGTTTACAAAAGCATATTTACCATTATACTGTATTTTATATTTTTAAGACAAAACCAAAAAATGGTTGCTTTTATAATACAGGGTCCTTTTTCTTTAAGCGTAATTGTTACCAGAGAAAGTCCTACTTAAGATGGACCAAAATTTAGAAAGCTTTGAATGAGACTTTATCTTAAAAAATAAAACCCCCCAAAATGTAAATAAGGTTATGTTATGTTAAATAAAATGGTGGTTATCGTTGTAGCTGTGTGCTAACCTTTGATTATATAATTGAAGTATGTGCTATTTCTGGGTATTGAGTTGGGGGACTTGCCAACAAAATTGTCTGATGGCATGAAACAGTACCTGTCCCTTCACATTTGACTTTTGTATCATAGTCATAAAGAGGTTTGTCGTGGCAAAAATACTTGAGGGCTCCATCAACTCTCCCAATCTTCTGGTAGCCAGGTCATTCTCTTTTGAAGCCCCTGCTAATCATCATCCTCCTGGGTGTTCCCTTCATCCTTGTTAATTGCTCTAATTCTGCCACACCTGTTTTTGTCTGTGGTTTTGCTTCTGATTTGAATAATTCTCCAGCGTCATCCTTGCTGACAGCAGCTGTGTTTATAACACCCAGCTACAGGAGGAGACTGACGAAGATGTGGGCATGGTGGAGGCTAGTTAGTGTAAGTAGGGAGGGATGTGTGAGTGGCGACCAGTGTTAAAGTGCGTGGCTCAGTCATAATATTTTGTGTCGTGATGGCGTTTGCTTCCCTCGGCCACCAAGGATACTCAGATTATGAACACTGAGTCAGGAGGACCCCTTGTATAAAGTATAGTAAGTTACACCAGATAAGATGGGCTGAGCATGGGTTTAAAGTTGAGAATGGCCATTCATGATGTGGAGTTACAGGGGAGAGAGAGAAAACAATAAATGAATACTTCGGCAGTTGTGTGTGAAAGCTGGTTGTGCTTGCCTGGGTTATCGTGCTTATCACACCGTTCAGCAAGTATTTGTTTGCTTGTCTTTCTCCCCAATAAATGTGAGCCCCTTGAGGACAGCCACTGTGGCTCACTTATCTCTGTGTCACAAGGCCCAGCAGAACCCTCTTGCTAATAGTTCGAAAATGTAATTGATTCTTTTTAAATATCAGGTGCGAAGTGGCATAGTAGATGCTGTTCCGGTGGCAGCACAGAGGTGCTCTTAGAAAAACACCCTATCAGTTCACGTGCCCTGTGTTTGACTTCGTAAATACCTCAGGGGTTAGCACAGTTGATGTGAGCCAGCTGCCTAAGAGTTCTAGTGCTTGAGTTTGCTTCTCTGAGGGGCCCAATTAACATTTGTTTTTGTTTTTTTTTTTAAAGATTTTATTTATTTATTTGACAGAGAGATAGAAGAGCACAAGCAGAGGGAATGGCAGAGGGAGAAGGAGAAGCAGGCTCTGCACTGAGCAGGGAGCCCGATGCGGGACTCGATCCCCAGGACCCTGGGATCATGACCTGAGCCGAAGGCAGACGCTTAACCATCTGAGCCACCCAGGCGCCCTAACATTTGTATAGTCCATTGACAAAAGCTGCACTGCGAACCCCAGGGAGCTGTTCACCAAATTTGAAGTGTCTCTCATAAGGGAGATCGAGCAAAGAATGTAAATAAATCACATCAAACTGGGCCCTGCTAATACATTGTGTTTATCTTGTTCATGATTGTTCTGGGTGTGTAAAGAACAGCAAATCTTAAAGAAATATTGAGCAAAACCAAAGTGCTGAATCACTATATTGTACACCTGAAACTAATATTACACTGTATGTTATCCGACTGGAATTTAAATAAAAACCTAGGGGCGCCTGGTTGGCTCAGTCGGTTGAGCGTCCAAATCTTGATTTTGACTCAGGTCATGATCCCAGGGTCCTGGGATCAAGCCCTGTGTCAGGCTCTGCACTGAGCATGGAGCCTGCTTGAGATTTTTTTCTCTCTCTCCCTCTGCCTCTCCCCCTGCTCTCTCACTCTCAGGCGTGCTCTCAAAAAAAACAAACAAAAAACTTAAATAAAACTTTAAAAAGAAAAGAAATATTGAGGAAAACTGCCTTTCTATGATTTTTCTACTTCTCATAATACCTATTGATTGGCTAATGGGCCAGAAACTGTTGTTCTAGATACTGGTGATCCAGAAATGAGTAAGACATGGTTCTCAAGAAATGGAACCAACCAGTACACAAGGCAAAGAGCAGGAAAATGTTAGAGATAACTTGACAGAAGAGGGCCTTGTGCGCCCACAGCGAGTTTGAAGTCTGAAGCCATTGCGGGCTGTCAGCACAGAAGTGCTGTGGCCAGACTGCTCCCTCTGGCTGCCCTGGAGGGAGAGGGACAGCTACAGGCAGTAGGGCAGTAGGAGAACGTCCCAGAGGCAGCCTCCAGGGTCCAGACCAGAGGTGTTGTGGCCTGAGCTGGAACAGTTGCTGGGGCAACCAAGAGGTGGAAATGGCGGGTGGTGGAGATGGACACTGTGGGCCACTCCTGGGTGGCCTTCCCCATCACTCCCGTGCCAGAAGGAAGAACTGCTGTGACTTGATCTGACAGAAACTCATGCAAGACCCTTTTGATTCCAGCAATCAGACCTCATGGAGGAAGGCTAATCTCACTTGCAAAATTGCTATCGACAATCTAGAGAAAGCAGAACTTCTCCAGGGAGGAGACCTCTTAAGGCAAAGGTATCTGTCTTTTTGTCTTTCTGGGCCCTGATGTTAGAACAGATAGCAATTGGCAAGGTGCAAAACCCACGTAAGGAACCCCTTCTTGTTTTCAATGTAAAACTGGTACTTTATTATATAGGTAATATTTTTTAAAGTATGAAAGAAAATACATGCTTACTTGTAATAAATTGGTAAAATAAAAATATTAATGACAAAATGAAACCATACTGTCATTGTGTTGTACACATTTGGATACATTGCCTCCTCCCACCATTTTTTTTTCACGAAGTCTGAATCATACTGTATATAAAACTTAGCGCCCTGCTGTTCTTCACATAGCATTATAGCACAAATACTTGCTTGTTGCTTTAGAAACTCTTTAAACAAAGGTTTAAGAGTACATAGTATTCCCCTGTATTAGCTAATCCCCTGTTTGTGGGTGTTTACATTTCTAGTTTGTCCGTACTGTAAATAATACACAAGGCCACATCTTAGGACACAAGACTTTGTCCACATTTTGGATATTTCCTTTGGAGAGTTTCCCAGGGATGAGATTATTGGGCCAAAGGCCTAAATGTTTCTAAGGCTCCTAATACGTATTGCCAGATTGCTTTACAGAAGGTAGCAGCAGTTTGCGTTCCTGCTAGGAGTCTTCAGGAGTGTGGTGTCAGCATACCCTTGCCGGTGCTGACTATGATCATTGATACTGAAATCGATTTCATTTTGATAGATTAAAAAAATGGGATCTCATTTGAAGATGGGATTTTCTTGCAGCCAGGCTTTTGTTGACATGCCTCCTCCCACTCTGGACTTTTAGGAAAACCACCAAAGAGAGCCTGGCCCAGACGTCCAGTGCCATCACGGAGAGCCTCATGGGGATCAGCAGGATGATGTCCCAGCAGGTCCAGCAGAGCGAGGAAGCCATGCAGACTCTAGGTAAAGCCGGACCTGGAGTTAGAAGCTTCTCCCAGAGACACCAGCCCCAGAGCCCTTGCCCTGGCACCTGCCGCCAGGCTCTTCCACCTTTGCCCCCTCTCCCTACCCTCATCTCCAAGCTTACTGACTTGTGTGGCTCCTCAGTTCTTCGACAGTGTGGTGTTGCCTAGAGTGGGATGTGTCGCTCTTACTTCTCTTTTTGGTTTTTATTGTTGTACTAAGAAGATCTACACACCCCTGTCAAAATGTTTCCCCAGCAGAAGCACTCCCAGGGTCTCCTGTGAAAAGTAGAGATCCCCAGGCCTTCTCCTGGAGAGTGGGTGCCAGTAGGGCTGGGGGAGGGGCCTGGCAGTCTGTTTTTTTCTCTGGAGTTCTGTGGACCCATGTGGCCAGGCAGGTTGGGGAATCATTGCTTGAGGAGATGTTTAGTATATTGGCTGCTGGTTGGTCTGCTAGGGCCTCAGCTTACGATTATACTCTCCAGTGTTATTTTTACATGAGCTCCTTTTAAAAGATACCATCAGAGGCCACAAAAGAAGCCACTTGAGCATCTGGTTTCTCTAGCAGCTTTCCCATGGTGTCTCCCTTGTAATGTAGAAGAGAATTGGCCCTCTTCAGGGTCCTTTGTATAGGAAAACAAGGAGAGAGTTTACTGTTTGAGACAGTTTTGGAAGATTTCACAGAGACTAAAGCAGAGAGTGTGGTATGCACTTGTCAGCTCATGGCCAGTCTCGTTTCAGCTCCGCCCTTCCTGGGCCTCCATCTGGATTATTTCAAAGCAAATCACAGACATCATCTAAAAATATCTCAATATGTCTCTCTAAAAGATAAGAGACTCTTGAAACAAAAAACAAACAAAACCAAACCACAATACTATTATCACTCTTAAAAAGTATGCATAATTTTGAGCCACTTTTTTTTCAGTGCACTATTCAAACAGGAGGAAGGAAAAGCAAAGCAAGCAACTTGTCCCCAAGGTCAGTCCCTGTGTTTGAAACTTATCTGGGCATTTAGGCTCAGAACCAGCCAGTCACGTCCGCTACATGCGTGCTGGGGGCGGGGCTCAAGCCTTGGGAGAGACCTGGGAGAGTGTGCAAAATAGGAAGCCACCTGGCCTTTGAGTGGAGGGCTTTTCTGCTTTGATGCAGGTGACAGGACGCCTCCCCCCACACACAGTTTATACACACATCAGAAACAGATGAGATCGTTAAGTGGTGAGGAGGGTGCACAGATGCTGATGGCTTCTGGTGTGTTGAGGGCTGTTCTTAGGGCCCATTAGAGAAAACTATTGAAGAAAGAAGAATGCAATTCTTAATCCTTCCCTTAGAGCTCACAAATTCATCTTGATTTAAGAGCCTAATAGGGCTACATGTTTTTTTTAAAAAAGCATATAAGGGATATAATGTCTGGAATTTGCTGGAATTGGGTGGGGTAGTATGGGAACAGGAGCGCCAGGGAGTTGGTGGTTCTTGGGTATGGGTGATGGGCATAGGGCATTTCATGATACTATTCTGTCTACTTTGGTGATGCTTTAAAATTCTCTATCACATCAAGTTTAAAAAGAAAGGCCTGTTAGATTTTTTTGAACTGACTCTTACTTAGGTTTTTGGGATGGAGGTAGGCATGGAGAAAGGGCCAAGAGAGGGATTTTTGTTGTCTGAGTGTTTATTTTTCCCCTTCATCTGTCTTTATATAAATGCTGCTCTGTTACCTCTGGTAATTTCTTTTACTTACTTATTGACTTTTAATTTTAGGAAAAAGTAATATGCATTACATGGTTAAGAAAAAAACCTCTAGGCATGCATTGTCCAATAGAAATAGAATGTGAGCCACATATTTAACTTTAAATTTTCTAGTAGGCACATTAAAAAAGGTAAAAAGAAACCTGTGAATCTGTTTAACCCAATACATATAAAATATTTCCATTTCAATATGTAATATCAAAAACTATTGAGATATTTTACCTTCCTTTTTCTCATACTAAGCCTTGGAAATCATGTATGTATTTTACACCTAGGGACATCTCAGTTTGGTTTAGCCACATATGCATGCTCAAGTGCCATCTGTGTCTAGGGGCTGCCATATTGGACAGTACAGGAGAGACGTAAAAAGATAGCTCTCTCTTCTGACCTCCCTCTGACCTCTGGCCATCAGGTCTACTCCCCAAGGGCAACCACTGTTACCAGTTTCTTTTATATCCTCCTGAGCTCCTCCAAGCACGTATAGCACAAGCAAATTAAATATTGTTTATCCCCCTCTCTTTTACATAAATGGAAATTTTCACATACGCTCTTTCACACCTCACTTTTCCACTTAACAGCACGTTTTATTCTTTGGATGTTCTGATGATGTTAGGCTTTGGGGGAGAATCTTGCCAGGCAGACCTTCTTACCCAAGTGTCAGGCTCAAATACCCATACTCAGAAGTACATTTGACTCCTAGGCACAGGTACCTCCCCTTAGAGTTCATACAGTGGTCAGAGCAAGGTGTGACATCTTTAAAGCTACAGCAGTGTCCCAGGACTGAAGAACTGACGTGTGTGGGGGCTGGTGGCAGGGCCAGCCCAACTTGTTAGGATCCCACCAAGAGCAGATCTGACTCTCAGGGGTCCGGGCAGGGTGCACTTCAGGTGGAAAGTCTTGGTAACTCCTAGCTTCTGCCCCCCCAAAAGACCTCATAGTGCCTGGTCATAATCACCCGGGTTCATTTTGGGGCTGGTAGTTCTTCTCACCAGCACTTGCCTGCTTTGGAAAACTGAGATCCATGGTCAGTAAAGGAACTCTATTCTTTTTTCCCTGGTGATATTCACATTGGAGAACGCCTAGTTGTGGCCCTGTGACATTGTATATAAACAAACCACATCACTCTGAGCTGAATAGGACCTAGGGAGGTACTTTCCTTATAATATCCTTGTTCGTTGCTCCTCTGGTTGTCTCTGCTCACATCTTTGCTTATGGCCGAGGGGAACTTGCTGCAAAGTGCAGTGTTATTTGCTGGTAACCCAGCCAGCAGAGCAAAGTCTTTGGATTTGGTGCTCTACAGTCTCTGAGTCAGGCTCCCTCCCTCTTTTGTTTCAGCCAATTCTTCCCGGACTATCCTGGATGCAAATGAAGAGTTTAAGTCCATGTCAGGGACCATCCAGTTGGGACGGAAGCTTATCACAAAATATAATCGCCGAGAGCTGACGGACAAGCTTCTCATTTTCCTTGCCCTGGCCCTTTTCCTTGCTACGGTCCTCTATATTGTAAAAAAGCGGCTCTTTCCATTTTTGTAAGATCTGGAATTACCAGCTTTTGCCCTTTAAGCTCGTGTCAGGATCTGTCCATGCTCCTGAGGTTTGGCCCCGGCTGCCAAACCAGTGCACACCTCTGCAGACTGTTCCACTTGCTCAGCAGGTGGATTGCAGACCCAGCCCCCCAGCTTTCTGTAGGCAGCTGGTTGGCCTATAAAGGGCGAGTAGAGCAAGGGGAGGCCTGTCATCAGGATACCTGCAGGACACAGGGACTCCAGGAGCCATCACACAGTGCGTGTGGCTGTCACATGGGGCATGCAGAGGCCAGCCTTCAGGATTGGATCCTCCTCTCTCCCCTTCTCCTGCTGTAGCCTTAATGCCAGATCTGGTGGAAGGAAGAGAGAAGTGGGGAGAAGAAGGATAAGGAAAACTCAGGCCCATTCCTTGAATAAACTTGACTCTATTTAATAGAATGAAATGCATGTGGATTTATAAGGTATCCTTCTGGGAATTTGTGACCTGTTTTTGATGTCCAGATTTCTAGAACATCAACTTAGACCATTTATTTGTTCATTCAACAAAGGATTATTAAGCAACAGCCACATGCAATGTCTTATAGACGTTGCTGACCGTTACAAATACTTGGTAAAGCAGCTGTGGTTCCTCCCTCAGGGAGCAAGAAGAACAAGATCTCATAGGCTCTAATAAAGCAAGTTACAAAAAGCCCCCATGGGAGGTGGCTGACACCACATCTGAAAAGGCTCAGGCAGACATCCTTCTCTTTCTGTGTACAGTGGTGGGCCTGGCCTGGGGGTGTGCCGTGTCTTGGGGGCTGGCCCACATCTTTCTCTTTGAGGTCCAGAGCTAAATATAACCATGAGAGCAAGCCTAGTGATAAGCTGAGGCCTGTCTGGGCCTGAGTTCTGTTGAGGCCTAGGGGATACTGGGGCTCAGGCTGGGAGATGTTAGTGTCTCCTTGTGCTGTAGGCCTGGCTGGCCTCATGAAATCCCAGCCTCCCCACTATTTATAGCCCCAGAGGCCCTGGGAGGTGTAATGTGGAGGCAGAGGGGAAAGTGGAAAGAACATGGACTTTGAACCTTGGTTTTGAGCCTTGGCTCTACTACTAAGGGACCATGTGACCATGGGCAAGTTACCTTTTGTCACTGAGCCTCAGTTTCCCCACCTGTAAAGTGGGGGTGATAGTCCATATAGTCATTTGTAGAGTCAATATGAGAATCAAACAAGAATGTACAGTAACAAGTGCAGCTTCTGTCTGACTGGACAGTGGGCTTCCCAAATGGGGCCCCCTCCAGGACTCTGGGCCCTGAGGTTTCCTGCAGCGAACAGGCTTTAATGAAAGCTGGCCTGGGCGTCGGAAGTTGTTAGATCAGCTTGAGCAGAGGGAGGGTGTGAACAGTTACGGCTTCAGTTACAAAGTCCGGATTGTCATGGGACCAAGTGTGTAAGAGATTGGCTGCACACCTCAGACTGAGTAGTTTAATGAACAGGTTCTAAGTTAAAGTGTGTGTGTGTGTACTTGTACACACACACTTCCATATATATATCGTTCTTAAACAATTTCTGGACTGAGAAGACACTCAGTGCAAAATGTGTATGCATGTGTCTTATTTATAGTCAAGTTAAAGCTGAGAATAAAGCACAGATGGGAAATTCCCACTCAGATTCCAGCTGTAAGTGCAGCAGATGGATGTTATCAATTTAGGATTTTCTTGTCTTAACATTTTTCTTTACTACTTCCCACTAATTGTCAACATCCTCCTTACAATATGGGAATGTGTGGGCTCTGTACTCCTTAAAAAAATCTCCCTTTGACTTTATTCTTCTTTAACTTGTTTCCTTCTGCAAATAGGTTGAATTTGAAGTGTCATCAATAGCATTATATCTTGCAGCCCCAGTCAGCCAGCCACCGGGATTCAAAATGATCCCCAGGTGGGCTGGCTGGGCAGAAGCAGCCAGCGCCATGTTCATCCGTGAGGGGGCAGTGTTCACATTTGTTCTGTGATCTTGCTGTGTTTAGGACTCTCCATCAGTCCACATGGAATGTTCTTACGGATTTTTTTTTTTTTTCAGATACCAGACTTTAAAAAAAAAGCCATACAAATGTACAAAGTCCACCTATATAGTTTTTGGGAGATGTTTCATAAATGATTTTAATTCTCACTGTTAACAGTAACGTAAACTTGTATTCTACATTTTGCTTAGATGAAGGTCAAGGAGCTAAAAGGACAGAGCATCTGTCAAGAGGTCGTTCATTCAAGTATTTACTGAGGACCTACTTTGTACCAGGCACTGTGTTAGGTACACTCAGTGAACGAAACAAAGATTCCCTGTTGTCATGGAACTTATAATATGTGGCGGAGGGTGGCCAGATGATAAACAATTAAGATACTAAATAAGTCATTCATTCTGTTAGGAAATAAGCGTCTTAGGGAAAAGTGAAGCTGGCTAATGGAGATCTGGAATATAGGTGAGGGGATAGGTTTGCGGTATTAAGTAGGGTGGTCAGAGCTGGCCTTGTTGAGATAAGATCTGAGCAAAGGCCTGTTGAGGATGGAGACACCATAGCCATGTGGACTGCTGAGGGAGGAGGGTTCCACACAGGGGCCAGCTAGAGCTAGTGCAAAGGCCTACAGTGGGAGCATCTGCGATACTGTGATTTATCGTCAGAAATATATATTTGGTGTCCCTGGTCCTGGCACAGAGCTGCTAAAGCCCTTGGACTTTCCTACAATGAGAGTGATAAAGGTTTCTTTTGTTACCTTCATGAGGCAACTTTTGGAAAGCACTAAGGATGGGACTGGATGCCAGTGGGCCTCAGAGGAGGGGAGGGGGCTGGAGATTGAGTTCTGTCACCAGTGGCCAGTGATTTAATCAGTCATGCCTGTGTAATGAAGCCTCCACAGAACCCAAAAGGAGGGGCGCCTGGGTGGCTCAGTCGTTAAGCGTCTGCCTTCAGCTCAGGTCATGATCCCAGGGTCCTGGGATCGAG